TTTCTCTTTTCCCCCTCTCCCCGCCTCTTCCGCGCTCCCCTTCTTTGTCCATAGCATGACTGGACCATTGCCTGATCCGGCCCCGCCGCTAGCCGCCGGCCCCGCAGCTGGCGCCGCCCCTGAGGAGTTTGACGTTGTGATTATCGGCGCCGGCCTCAGTGGCCTCTCTGCCGCCCGTCGGCTTCAGTCCCGCGTGCGTACCTGTCGCGGGTCTTGGCCCGTCCCGCTGCCGCTGCCGCCGCCGCCGCCGCCGCCGCCGCCTCCGGGCTGGTTCCGACCGCGTGCTGGCTCTTTCCCCCTGCCCTGTGTGCCCATCCTGACACCCACTCACCCGCACATGCAACGCACTCGCAGGGTCTCTCGGTCGCGGTGCTCGAGGCGCAGGACCGCGTCGGCGGCCGGCTTCTCACCAACGCCCCGATCGATTTGGCCGATGGCACCCAGTCGAGGCCGATCGACTCCGGCGGCGCATATGTCGGCCCCCGCCAGCGCCGTGTCCTCGGCCTGGCCAATGAGCTGGACGTGACGACGTACAAAATCTACGACCAGGGCAATGGGCTTCTGCGTATGAATGGCCAGGTTACCGTATGTTCGGGCTCATCCCCGCGCCCCCCAAGCAAGCACAAGCGCCCCCTCTCTCTTGGACCAGCCGTCTCTCCGCCCTCGTCCTCGCCCTCACACCCTTTCCCTCTCTCTCTCTCTCTCTCTCTCTCTCACACACACGCACACATGCACGCACCCCCTCTTCCTCGCTCCGTCAGATCTCCGAGGACCCCCTGCCGCACAGTGCCATTGCCCGGCTGGACCTCAACGACTTGATCCTCAAGACCGACAGCCTGATTGAGCAGCTGGAGGACAACTTCTGGGAAGGGTATGCCCGCCCGTGGGTCATTCTCTCTTCCGCTCCTCGAGATCGCACGACGCCTCCCCCTGCTTGGCGGCCTTCTAACGCTCCCTCTTCGCCCCCCCCCTCCCCCCTCGCAGTGCTCTTGCCAGCAAGCTCGACTCGATGAGCGCCGAGGCATGGATCACCACGACCGGCTGGACCCCCGAGGCCCGCGAGTATTACCGTGTCCTCATTCGGTCGATCACTTGTGTCGAGCCGCCCGAGGTATGAGCATGCGTCCTCCCTCCCGCCTCCCTCCTGCTTCTCTCTCTCTTTCTCTCTCTCTCGCTCTCTCCTCCCTGTCCCCGGCTGCCTTCTCTGACGGTCGTTTCGTCCCACATGCCAGGTCTCCTTCCTCCACTGGCTGGCTGGCATCCGGTCGGCCGGCGGCATGCGCCGGACTCTGGCCGGCGATGGCGGCGCACAGGAGCGCAAGATCATCGGTGGTGCGGCCCAGCTGGCGCACCGCCTGGCCGAGGACGTCCTCATGCCGGGCACCGTGCGTATGCTGCACCGGGTGATCAGCGTGCACTATGCCCATCCCGATTTGCCGTCCGCCGCCTCGGCCAGCGGCAGTCTCAATGTCGAGCGTCCGGAGGACGGCGCTCGCATTGCCTGCGAGAATGGCGCCATCTTCCTGGCGAAGTATGTTCCTCCCCCTGGGGTTTTCGCCCGTTCAACCCACCAACCGCCCGGCCCATGCGCACTCCTCTGACACCACCTCCCCACGGCTCTCCTCCTCCTCCTCCTCCTCCTCCTCCTCCTCCTCCTCC